GTGTCGCGTTCTCCCTCATATCTTTGTGTGATTTTCCCTGTTTCTCCTTGTGCCTCAGTTTTCCCCAGTTTAGATTTGTATGTTATTTGTGTCACAATCACTGCATGCTGCAGTTTCATACTGTAGATGTCTTTTCTTGGTCTCTATTCAGGATAGCATTCCTTTAATTCCAAAATATCTTCAGACTATATAGCACAGTAAGTCTTGTGGTTTGAATGACTGAATGATTAGAGTTCTACAAACTGATTGCATATCTTCTCCCCATATTCTTTCCATTAGATTTCTGTGAACTAAATTTGGATCTAAACACAATACACAGAAAACTCAAACTATCTGACAACAACAGGAAGGTGGTGCATGTAGAAGAGGACCAGCAGTATGTTGATAATGACGACAGATTTGATCATTGGCCTCAGCTGCTGTGTACCAACACTCTGATTGGTCGCTGTTACTGGAAGGTGGAGTGGAGAGGTTCATATTTCAGTGGCTTACAAAGGAATAAAACAGAAGGGAAGCTGTGATGACAGCTGCTTTGGCAAAACTGATCATTCCTGGTCTTTGTACTGTGATGAGGCCAAATACTTTGCAACTCACAATTAAAAACCAAGAGCCATCCCGGTCTCCTCCTTTGCCTGTGACAAAGTAGCAGTGTATGTGGACTGTCCTATGGGCACTGTGTCCTTCTATAACATAATCTCTGGCACACTGGTCCACCTCCACACCTTCAACACCACATTCACTGAACCTGTATACCCTGGGTTTAGAGTTGGGTTACGTAACTCTCATATCTACATCTGTGCTGACTCAGAAAACTGATCCTGAGCTCATAAAGTAGCAATAAAGCAAAGTTACTGAGCTACAGTAACAAAAGTGTCATCCATATATATTTAAAAATACATAACATTATAAATTTGACTGTGATAAATGTTTCAAATGTGTTTGAAATTACACCGAGAGATCTCATGCCACCTTCTTAACTTCTAGATCACGCAGTAGTAGTGGAAATAGAGT